TAAAGTAGCGGAATCTGATCAAATGCAGTTCTCGATACTTTGTTTCAGGTAAGGACAGTAAAATAATAAACTTCATTTTAATTATAAAAGATAACTATTAATAAAACAAATATGCTCGACCTTCACAAATACTAATAGTAAAAGACAAAGTCAAAAGTAATAGGCTAATAAGAATAATAAGATCTAATAGTAGGCCTAATACCTGGCTCCGCTGGGTAGACATAGAATCTAGAATCTACTTCTTTACTTAAATTTAATTACATTAGATCTACATTCGATTCAAAATACACCCATAATAAATCAAAAGTAGTCATAATAGGCCTAATAAAGCATTTAATTGTCTCTAAGATCTAAAATCTCGCTCTATTATCTAATCATTTTTTTAGCAAACGAAATTTTCTGAAATTGAAATAGATTATATGACTAGACTTAGATCTAGAATCTGCTACTTAAATTAAATTGTAAAAACTTTATACAAGCATGTAGTTGATATTATTGTAGTAGAAGGCTTTAATAAATTACTAAGGCCTACCTACTTTGTTGTCTTTTTACAGCAATATGTATCTGATACTGGACTGAGTTTAATTAAATTCAAATTCATATCTAGTAATTGGTCTACTAAGTTTTTGTAGCCTAGTAGTACAATCTAGATCATACCAGCCAACAACAAATAACCACATTATTATTATTTGGTTAATGATTAGGCTAATTTTTTTTTTAAATCCACTGTTTATAAAAGAAACAAATCAAGCTAGAAACATTATAAGTGAGATGGTTTAGAATAATAACAATGGACCCAGTCTACAATTGATACAATTGCAGGTCTACATAGGGCCTACAGTCTAGTAGTTTACAGTAGGCACCTAGTGTGTAGCTAGTATACTAGTGTGTAGCTGTCCAGAGTTAAGATTCTTAATGCCTTAATGCTTTCCCCTGATAAGCCATGTGTGCTATAAATGACATAACATGACACCGAGGTGAGAAGTGTTGAGGGGAGAGCAGTGGGACTTTCCCCTGTGTTCTCCCTGCTGGGCCCTGAGGGTCAAAATTATATAAGAAATACTATCTCTGTGGGGCTGGGTATCACGGAGGTGAGACATTTTCAGGGGAGGGCAGGGCAGACTCCTCTTTGGTTTTATTGTGGGCTAGATACAGGTGGGGGCAGCCATCATGAGGGTTGAACGTCAGTATTAATGTGTCTGATTACTTCCCTGCTGGATTATAAGGGTCTTAAATTGTATAACATGCTACCCAGATTGGTTATTACCCATGGATTATATTAGCCGTTGTAGTGTGGGTTTTGTAGGAGTTAAGTGGTCTCACGTTTGCTACAGTAGATAACCTATAATATATTACTGCATTTGATCAGCTTCGTCTACTTAAACTCTAAACGCAAACGGTATTACTAACAGTATTTTTATTTAGAAATTTCGGCCACATATTTATATTATCCACGAAACTGTCAATAACTGTATAAGGATCTTCAATTCCTAAGAGTTCAAGTTTTTTAACATATTTTTCCTTTTCCGCGGGCGCGATTCTTTACATACGGTGAACACGTCCAGCGCTGGCGAACAGCTGATTGTGTTTACGTCTGATGTACACCACTGTGGCGGCGGGCGTAGGTATCACGTGATTTAGGTCACGTGTTTGCAAGGACTCTATAGATCATTTTCACAATATCAAATAATACATCCGTCTTCTACTATATCTAACCCCAACTAACTTCACTGCTGCGTCTTACGTCATCGGTACATTGTCGCACCATGCTCACGTCACACTCACGCCACACATATTTTATTGAACACGCGCACAATACTCTCGCACCAAATCGTCTACCGTCAAGTTCGTACCGTCCTTAGTAACCTCTACTCGTCTAGTCTAATTCTATATATCTACGCTATGACACATATAGTGGGTGTTTTTTTTTGTTGTAATAATGGATGGTGGGGAGGGGTAAACATTGACTACTGAAGAAATCAAAAACTGATGACAGCAGAAGGCAAAGAAAAAAAAAACAACAAACCATGTGGTATTCAAATGTAACTAATTAAAATTTGAACCTATTTTAAAAAACACAATAATCTTAATTCAGAAAAAGTGTAGGCCTAAGACTAATGTCTACAGACAAAATAAACAACTAGGCTTAATTAAATGGATCGCCCATAAATGACGTCATACTTTTCCCGACAATTTCCCTCTCACCCAATAGTTACTAAAAGCAAAATGATGATTTAATATCATATCGCAGTTCTACTATACCCGAACCCTTAATCACAATTTCTAACGAAAACGAATATATTCTTCATCATTTTTGAAAAAAATATTTTACACCGTCCCATATTTTGAGTCCAACGTCATTTATGAGGAATATGGACGACCTAACAATTGACAAGTTAAGGGGTCATCCATAAATGACGTCACGCTTTTTTAATACGATTTTTACCTCACCCCCTCCCCTCCGTCACACGTCGTCACAAAAAGTCAGACCCCCCCCCCCTAAAATGACGTCACACATCAGCCTACAACCCCCCCCCCCCCTCAAAATTGCAGTTGATTTTTTTTTAAAACATCGATATTTTTCCAAAATCTTGTCTGAAATATGTCAAAATATAGTATATTAATCAATTCCTATTATAATTTATTAAAACTGTTTTTTAAAAAGCTAAATAATGTCTAAAATTCGTTTTCTAACATTTCTTATCTATAAAGCAAAAGTGTGACGTAGCACCATCTGAACCCCCCCCCCCCCTCCCCGTCATCACACATCGTCACAAAATTACCGACCCCCCCCCCTCCCCCCTACGATTCTGACGTCATTTATGGACGACCCCTAATCAGTACAAAAGGGTTTAGTAAATGTTGGACCTCCCAAAATTTTTTGAGATCTTGGATGTACATACATACATAGCCTTCATTTCACTTGAAAATGAAATTAAAGATAAGAAGACGGCCCTCTGTATTACTTATATTAAACAAGACAGGTATGTATATTAAACAACAAAGTCAACACAATATACATACGAATAGACATTTTTATCCAGGGAAACTACTCTAAATTTTATTTGGAAAGATGGCCGCTGTTTTTTTTCTACTAATATTTATCTAAAACACCTAGTTTAAAGTTAGTTTCATGTTATTTAAATTGTTTTGGTCACTGTTTGTTATTTTAAATGAATTATCTGTGATATTTTGTAAAATTTGACTTAAATAAACTTATTTAAACAAATATATTCATCAGCTACCTCTCCCGCACATTACTATTGCAGCCGAATTGATTACGCTAAAACGATAGATTACCATACTAAGTAGGCATATTTACCGCCGTGAATGTTTAGTCTATTAAAAAAAGCAAGTAGAAATCTAGATCTACTATTTACTATGATCTAGATATCTAGATCTAAATTATTCTAAATTTTAAATTTAGAATCTCTATCCAGGTGATTTAATGGACACAAGCGAGAAAAGTCTCAAAGGTATTTGAGAGGTGCATAAATTTAAATAAATTAATTTAAAAATCTTGCACGGCGTAGTTACAATTAATATGGTTATAAAATCCTGTCTGTCTGGTTTTTTTTCAGACTTTACTAAAAAGATTGGACGTAGAATCTAGGCCCATTTGATGTTTTTAATATTTTCGGTAACTAAATAAAAATTTAAAAAAAAAAGCAAAAACAATTTGGTTTTCACGTGTAATGGCGACATAAACAATGGCATCCTGCTATTGGATAGGCCGCCATAAATTTTATTGTACACATTGTAAGCTAAAAATAGAAAACTAGGTCATGGGGTTTTAAATTTGCATTGTTATTTAAAAACTTGATCTGCAAAGTTTTGTAAACAAATAGTTATCGATCACTAAGTTACTGTACGTACAGCCAATCAATATTTGTCTTACGAAAGTGAAACATCCGGTTATAACTTAGGCTTGATGAAAATAAATAGAAATGTAGCCTTAAACTCAACAAATTATTTTCAAGTTCTCTGGATTTGCAACTTTTATAGCATTTATTCTAAAAATATAAAATTTCTAAATTAATTAAGTTTTTATTTTTTATTTTTTTTACGGTCTAAATCTAAAAAGCATGTTTTTATTCCATGTCAAGAACACTTTGGAAGGAATCGTGTCAACTCGCTTGTGTCCATTTGGTAATCTATCGTTTTGGGTACGTAAAATGGCCAGCGGCTATTAATGTACGAAAACTTTTCCGTAATAAATGAAGACTAGCGATGTTTCCAACAGATGCAACCATGCTCATTTACTATAGCAGCCATCTTGTTTAAGTTTTATTTTAATAAGCTTATAGCGCGAGATTCAGGGGGAAGCCACTCTATTTTACAAATGGCTGCTGTTTATATAGCAAATCTTGCTCGCAGACACTGCTGTTTAAAGTTAATTTCTGGTCTATATTGATATATTTAGCCATTGATTTAGGTTTAATATTCATTTATCTATAATATTTGACACAAACATATCACAATATACTTCTATTATAAAGCCTTGACAATGAGGAAACGTTTTCGTACATTATTAGCCACGGGCGATTTTACGTACCCAAAACGATAGATTACCAAATTTTCATCATGGATGGATGTCTAAAAAAAAAAGCATGCAGTCAGCAAACAAAAAGTGTTTAGCAAATTATATATTTCTGCAAGTAACTTTCGCATATTACCGCCTCTCAATTTTGTGTCTTGTATTTTCGTAAGACCCTTGTCAAGCCTTGTAATTTACAAGTTCATAGGCCTAGTAACTAGTTAGTTAGTTAGGCCTATCTTTAATCTTTATATAATATAATACTTTATATTATTATTTTAAAACCCAAACTAGTGTACTTTTTAAGAATTGTAGTTTAAAAAAAAATGTGTAACTTATTTCATCTCCCTTAAAAATTGTTATAATAAAAGAAGAAAATAAACATTACACGACTGTTGAATGTTATTGTTAAAATAGTTTGTTTTCTACTGTCTAATTGTAGGCTTACAGTATAGCTTGATATTCAAGAATGGATTTTTCTGACAATGAAGGAAGAAGAATTTCAAGAAATTTACACGCCTCTAGTTCTATGGAAGCTGAAACTGTAAACTTTGATGATGAGCTGGCTTTGTCTGAAGAGGATCAAAGTATGATGCCTATTACCACAGTTAAAGTAGACTGGCCTAATCCAATTCATGAACAACAACCTTTGTGTCAACAGTTAAATACAGACACATCTGTTAAGATTTCTGATGGTAATTCTTTACCTGTCCATATGGGGAAAGAAAATATTCCTTATCATGATGTAGTGCATGATTTTTATCGAGCAGTGGATGAAGGTTCTTGTGACGCTATAGAAAAAACAGTTTATAAATACAATTTAGATGTTGGTGTCGTCTTCACCAGCAATTTTGAATTTGTGAAACGCAAACACCATGGGTGGACTGCAGCTCATCTAGCAGCATCACACGGGAATGTCAAGGCCTTGCGGTTTTTGTTTGCCGAAGGCTGTGACATAGAATCTCTCACCCCAGATGGGGAAACAGCCCTGCATGTAGCAGCAAAGCATGGGGCAGCTGAAGTTGTGGCCTACTTACTTGACTGTAATGTATTCCTGAGAGATCGACCAAACAAACAAGGAATAACAGCCTTATTAAAAACTATTTTTAATTTCCAGCCCGCTTTTAAAGTTAATTACCGGCGCTGTGTTGATTTGTTGTTGGGTGCAGGGTGTAATCCAAATATATCATCTTCTTCTAAAGTGATGCCACTGCATGTAGCTGTTGACAAGGGCGATTTACAATTAGTCAGGAGACTAATCATTGCTGGGGCAAATGTAAATGCCCTCTGCAGCCATAATACAAGCCCACTATTGCGTGCATTGATTCTAAAAAACGTGAATGCTGAAATAGTGACTGAACTTTTACTTGCAGGAGCTGACACTTCTTTAAAAATGAATGGTAAATCTACCCTTCACATAGCAGTTTCAAGGTGTGATGACCGTGTTATAGAAACATTCCTTCAATGTGGTGCTAATCCAAATTGCCTGGACGCTTCGGGGAACACACCATTAACACTGGCTGTGGAGGAGAATATCATCAAAGTCGTCCCTATCTTAGTTGCTGGAGGTGGAGATGTAAACTACGCCAAAGCTCCACAATGCATTTCTCTTCTGTCTCAAGCTGTTTTAAACAGCTCACTGCCGATGGTGAAACTGCTGCTTCAGTTGGGGGCGACGGTTCATACAGAGACCTGTATGTGGTCCACACCACTACACCACGCGGTAGATCAACAAAACATACCTATTATCATGGAGCTGCTTAGAGCTAACTGTTCTCTTAATTCTACCAGCAATGCCAAATATTCACTACGACCTCTGACCCCTTTTCAGCTGGCAATGGAGCTAGGCAATGTAGAGATTATGTTTCTTTTGATTCAAGTCGGATGTAAGGTCCAGTGGTCGTGGTTAAGAGAAGACAGGCTGCCCCCAGCTCTGGCATCTAAAGGAGATGTTGTCAGGCATATCAACAAGTGTGTTTCCAAGATTCCTTCTTTGCTGCACTTGAGTCGCATTAGCTTACGAGAGCACCTGGGGGACAGGTTTGGCTCAGTGATGACTTGGTTGCGTCAAGCTGCTGTTGTACCTAACAAAATAGCTGACTACATTGCACTGAAGGATATTCTTGATTCGTAAGATTAATTGCACTTTAATCATTTTAAGTAATAATAATATAACTAAAAACTAATATATTATTATATAAACCTAATTTTTGTCTTTTTTTTTCTTTGGATCATTTTTCAGTTTAATTTCTAATGAAAGTTATGTCAATAAAAATGTGATAATTGGAACTAATGATCTAATTAACCCATTAAATGTTGAGTACATTAGTTTGTAAGACATTCAATGTCTTTCAGGTTTTTATTAAGTGTTGAAATTGAATTGCTACACATGAAATCATCAGAATGTGAACATAAAATATTAAAAATTAAGAGACTATCTAAAAAGGCTCTTAGCTATCTTTAATAAAATAAAATGCAAAACATTGTATACAGTTTTTATTAAATATTTGGCTTTTGAATATACTGTTATTCCTGAATACACAAGGTAGTCTACAGGTTTTAATAATACTATTCATATGATACTATGAACTTATATTCTTAATCAGCTTCTTTGTTTTGTTACACCAGCCTTTAAGCTCAGGATTGTTTATCATTATTTCAATTTTATGTGTCTGCAACTATATGAATCTGGGATTAATGTTAATTTTTTTTTCAAGAATACTTAGATATATAATATAATAATTAATATATTCTTATATTAACAACATTTTATGGTATCATAATAGAAACTATTTCTACACTAACCCATTTTAATAATTATCCATACACTAACCATACAATTAGTCTACATAAAATGCAAGTAACAAATCCATGTTATTGAACACCTAATTATATGAATTATTTCTATAATGATTGTTCAGAAAGTACCTTTAACAGTGTATTTTTACTAGCCTTACATAACAAACTCACTACTGGCAAGTGAATTTACTGACTAATTAAGTGAACTTCTCCAAAACAAATATTCAACAACCATCACAATTTAATAGGAAAACATCAGTTTGTCAATCATATCATTGACCCCCTCTCTTCAAGATTGGGTAGTAATGCTCTATTTTAGAAAACATAAATTTAAATAGGATTCTTTTGATTTATCATTGTCATCTGCCTTCACTTGCTACCTTACCTTTTTGCCTTTAAACACAAAACATTTCATTATTTAAAATTAGTCATTTGTGATTGGTCGTGTTCATAAACCGTATAGACTATGATTGCTAACCCAAAGTCTCTAGTTCTGCTCCCTGGCTAGAGTTTGTAGGATGTCTCTGAGTCTACCCAGCTCTGATGGGTACCTGATTCACACCAGGGAAAAAAAGGCAGCTGGGTATATTGCTAACCATTGAGGCCATTGAAACAGAGGAACTCTACTTCATCTGTCCCATGTGTCTTGCGCACAAAGGGAAAAGATGATAATGAGCCATGTGCATAATGTTAAAAAAATGTAACACTGATGTAGGCTATTCTAAGTTCATTTAATTTATATTTTCTTCAATCATATTTTCCAATGGTTTTCATTCTATAATTAAATAATCAATATTACAAAGTAAAATAACAAGATCCGTATCAAAGAGTTTGAAAATCTTTCATAAATAGAATTACATATTTCCGTGGCAATTGAGCATTAAGTTGTGATTGAGTATATATGTTAAAACCACAGGCTGCAATATTCATATTAGATGGCATTGAAGAAAGAACCAATCTCTTTTGTAATTAGCTACTTGTTGAAGTTGCTGTGTAATTAAAATTCTCCAATAAGTTAAGCCAATAATTCAAGTTATTGAGCTTCCAATAATTTTTTTTGTCAGCACTACTCTTTATAGTTTAAAGGCATTCCAAAAATTTTAGCTATTTTGATTTCAAATAATTTTTACTTAAAATGTACCTTGCACCTTTTTATAAAATTATGATACATGGTTATAATATAAACATTCCAGTATCTGAAGCTCATTTTATTTAATATTGATTTATTAGACATGCAATATTAACTGATCAAATAGGCCAATTATCTTAGTGATGTATCCATAGGGCATCTACTGAACTCAGGCAAAAAAGATACTAGTTTACCCTATTGAAATTTGCACTATTTATTTAATTATGTTTTTGCAAACACTAATTTTTCACAAAAAACACCACTGTTTAACTTTTCACTCTCTTATATACTTACATAAACATTTCTCTTTGGTATTGGTTTTAAGAAAATAAAATTGAATAAAAAACTGGTTGGTTTTGTGATGTGGTGGTGGGTGTGATGGGGTGGTGGGGTTGGTTCAATATTCTGGTGGTTTTGTGTGATTAGTTTAAGAGAAAATTTGGCAACAAGTCTTTTTTAATTCATTTTTCTCACTCCATGTGAGTTAACATTCTTAATTTTATTTAAAAAAACTGTTGAAAGCTTAAGGAAACCTATAGCGTATTTGTCACTAAAAAGTGTGTGTAAGTGTAATTTTTAGATCACTTTACCACTCGGCTGTAATTAATTGAAAATAAAAGCTCACTCTAAGAAATCCTAAACACTGAGATGTGAATAATCAAGTATGTCATGTGATAATATTTTATACATTTTTTGAGATGTGATATATATTTTAATTTTTCTGATGTGATATTAATATTTAATCAATATTTTTAAAAAATTACAGGCATTATTTTTTTTAAACAAATCAAATACACAGTTAATATATAATAAACAAGAAGTTAACTATAATATTTTTGTATGTAGTGATACAATTAATTCACTTGTTATTCTGAGATTTTATTTTTGTAATTCTTGTGTTTCATTAATTTCATTCAAAATAATTGTGTACTGTTTACTGTAGTATCATGTGCTTTAAGTTGATAACTGATTTATTTAAAAATTTTTTTTGCTTTAAAAAAAATTAGCACGCATAATAAACTTTTAGAATGGAGTTAGTAATGGATTTAGCTAAGAATGTATTTATTATTTATGAATGGTTTACAATCTAGTGAAAGATTTTCATAACTGCCTTATTCAGCCTTCTTTACTAAGGCAATATGTATTAGGTCTTTAAATTAAATTTCTTTTTATAGTTTCTATAATCTGATGCATGCAATCGATCCTAACTTATTGCTACAAACCTAGATTTGTTCTGATATAAACATAGCTTTATGCTGAGATAAACTAAGGTTTTTGGTGCTACAAAAATAAAAAAATTAAATTTAAAAAAATTATTTTTAAAATATACATATGCCCCTTCTATACTTCTAAGCTTTCAAAGACTTCAAACAAATATGTATTTAGAGTTGTTTCAAATTTTAATTTTCTTTTTTGTTACTTTGCTACAACTGTGCTACAAATTTTCAACCCCTTGATGTATGAAGTGATATTTTTACAGCTATTGTATTAAGCTAGTTTAGATATGTGAGGTCTGAAACATTAGTTAATAGAATACTTTTTATTACTGTTGAAGTGAATTGCCTAGTAGCTTAATCTGGATCATTAGTCAGTAGAATACTTTTATTACTTTTGAAGTGATCTGGTGAGTAGCTTAAACTGAAGTGAAGCCATGGTAGTCTGTTTGTTTGTACTGATTTGGTGTGTGCTATTAATCTACTGTGTTCTCAATTGATGCAAATATCTGGCAGTGACCTAGAGGTTGTTTATAGCATTCAATAAATGTGTTCTGTTCATATTTTATATATGTTAATATCTATAATTTAAAATAAATACATCCATTAATTATTGGTTTAATTCCTGTACTCCCACTTCTCCATACCATCTTTTTTTTTAGTAGAATGAACATAGTGTTCAATTCTTTCCTAAAGATAGCTATTTTAGCCACTATTACAATGTTAAGTTTTTAATGCTTAGAATTATTTGTACAAAGACTGTCTTTTGATGTGATTGAATGAATCACTTTTATCAATCTTTGTTCAGGTGTTATGAAAATTGCTATTCCTAATTAACATTATTCCATGACAGCTGTTTTATTTTTAAAAATCTGGCTGCAGATATTTTATATTTTTATTAATCGTAAAATTAAATATGCTAATGTATTTTTCTCTAAGCTTCCAAGTGTTTTTATCTCCCATTAAACTGAATCATTTCCCCTTTCCTGGTATTGGATACAAAATATAATCCAAATATAATACATAACTTACTTTAAATCTCTTGAAAATAAAACAAAAAGATGATACAATAAAAATGTAAAAAAAATGAAAGTAAAAAGAATGAAGACAATATCAATAACAGTTTACAAAAAAAAATTGGTTGAAGAAAATTAAAGTATTGAAAAAAATATCTTCTGTGTAGGACTGAAGGTTTGTACTTTTTGTCTGCAGCCTATAATATTCTACTTGTGTAACTCTATGGTGTATACAAAAGAGTGTACTCTAATAAATATGTGTATATTTACAATGACTTGGTTATTTTTACATTAACTAATATATATATATATATATATATATATATATATATATATATATATATATATATATATATATATATATATATATATATATATATATATATATATATATACTTAAAACTTACTGTAGTCATTTGTTGGAGAATATCTATTGTCATTGTTTAGGTTGTAATCTAGTTCATAGCAGCAGCTGCTGTCAAAGTAATCCATAAATGCTGCACTATTTTAACCTGGTGTCATGGTTTTTATATGTAACCTACCATGGTAGTAAAGTAAAGAATCCTCTCTAGGGCAGATGAAGTAGAGTTTATATGTTTCTTGACCTCGGCATAAGAAGGAAAGGTGTTGTCAGCACTTGCCCAACCAACTTTACTTTCCCTTACATGAGTTAGGTTAGGTACCCATCAGACCTGGGTGTACTCAGGGACGTTTTACTGACTTTGACCCGTATTTGAACTCGAGACTTTCAGGTTAACAGCCTAGCTCTCTACCTCTTAAGCCACGCCATCCCATGGCATAATTGGTGGTATGGTTTTTATATCTGAACATATAATGTAGAAATTACGTTTGTGGGAGCCAAAATTCTTTACTTAGACATCTATACAAACTAAAGGTTACACAGGCATCACTAGAAGAGTCCTCTCATACACTCCATTAGCACTAAGAAAACCTCAGGGTAGATAGATTCATGAGTGTTGACGATTTTTCTTTCTTCCTTTCTTTGTTTTAGATCTCAGTTCATGTAAATACACGAAAAACCTCTTTCGGGCAATACCAATATTTGTGCAGATGATGAGTTAACATGTGAGACATATTATAAACTTATAATATAAAGGGTTAATGTAAGATATGCCCAGCCGCTTTTACTTACCCCAACGCTAGAAAGTAAGGCTACTCATCAGTGTTAACTTAATAGACTCAGTCTACTTATATTTTCTCGCTACCTGTGTGTACCCGTTTTTCCACTTGGGTTGTTTGTAAAACAGCAAATCATGCAGCAAATATGTGCCGATTTGCGTGTAAAATATGTCTAATACAACAAGCTCGGTCATCCAGTGCTAGCGTGTGTGTAAATATAAGGGAATTAACTCCGCGGAGCAAGACGTCACGGACACCTCTCCGCGAAGCAAGTGTCTGATTGTTTACCAACACAACATTGCCAATGTTTACACACAGCAATATAGCTAATAGTCTCTCATCATCAATATTTTACCGCTTGGTTGAATACATAGAAAAGTACAGGTTTTGAAAAATATGGTAATCAAAT